AGCCCATAATAGCAATGGGACTTCTGCTTAACTGGCAATGTCAGAAATTATTGACCTGAGTGCCCCACACCTCAACATAACAACATGGCTTTACTTCCTATATTTCGTCTTCATACTTTTCTACTGGATGGTTAAGACCAAGGTAAAGCAGGACCTGTGCAACAAGTACTAAATCCTTAAAATAGAACCCAAGCTCCTCAATGTGAGTTATTTCACTTGAAAACTATGTATTTTTATATTAATGTCTTATAATATTCTTCTTTGTCACAAGAGTATTATAATTTTGTTAATTTTTTAAAATAAAAATACACAGCAAATGGTCATCAGCATAATGATAATAAGAAAATATTGAGGAACTCACAAATTAACCAGTCCTTGCAAAGAAGAATCAACATAAAACTCTAAATCTAATTTTTTAAAAAATACTAAATATAAGGTATATTAGTGTAAATAAGGAATAATATACGTAGTGGCTCTATATAATTTACACATAATTAAGAATTCGACTAATGCTTTCTGAGGATGTTTAATCAAGAAAACACTTTTGGAATACATGGACTCAACCCATGATTTAAACAAGGAGAATGAAAACAGCAGATAGAAAGAAGACTGTTCCCTATATATTAGTCCTTACAGCTTCTGTACTACAGACAATATATCTTTTTTCTTAGCCACAGGCTACCCACTCACAAGTCTTTACAACATCCATGGTGGTGGTAAGGAACAATTTAATACAACAGCTCGCCCCACAGAAAATTTCCACTCAACTTTAAAGGCTTGTCATATCTGTCCCATCAATTGGTGAGAAGAGATGAAAATGGATTCTCAAGAGCAAAAGGCTTAATGCACTACCCCTGAGGTAGTAAACCATGCCACTTAGTGTAAATAGTCTTGAAACCTGATGATATAAGTATAAGATCCATTTCTCGTCTGTAAAAGCAAAGGCTAAAGCATAATAACTTCTATGGTTTCATCATCAGTAAAGCTAAAAATCAGAAGAGAAAGGTGATGATTCACTTCCTGTGGCTCTGACTTCAATACTGGGCAGTGGAATGAAGAGACGCCAAGTTCAGTTTACAGTTTTAATGTGAGCTATTCCCACATTAACTATATTGTCACTGAATATTACTAATTGTACAACTAATTTTTTGTGGTGGTACCAGGGATTGAACTCAGGACCTTGTGCCAAAGCACTTATTCCACTGAGCTATCTCCCTGACCCCAAAAAATTTTTAAATGAGAGTACAGAACATTGTAAGAGGACAAGCTAGTCTCTACTACAAAGATTCAAAACTGAAATTTTAAAAAGAACCCAAACTAAGACCACAAAAAAAAGCTCAGAATAGTTAAGATGGAAATTTTGAACAACTGCTCACTGCATGTATATCTACCATGTTTTTATGTCTGAGACAGCAAGCATGAATGTAATGCTTAAAAGTTGATAGTACTTCAAATCATCTTTTAATTGCTTTGGAGGCTACCTGACTTTTAATTTATTTTTAAATTTTCATTACCATTAAAATATTGTATTATTATTAATGGCCAATAGTCTTACCACTGTCAAAACATGTGAAACACCTCCACTAAGTAAAGCCCTCCATTAACACTGAGTGAGATCTGACATACGGATTTCTTTAGATCCAATAAGATATCACTGAAGTCACAGAATCACCGTGGCTTATATTTATACATGATGATTTGGCTGGCTAGATACTCGAAACTGAGGACTCATGAATTCAGGAAAAACTGAAAGAAAGTATTAAAAAGTATTCACTGGGCTGGAGAGATGGCTCAGTGGTCTAAGGCACCTACTTGAAACAAGCTTGGCAAAGCACAGGGACCGCGGTTCGATCCCCAGCACCACATGCCAGCCAGACCCGCCCCCTGGTGGGCTGAGCTGGCCACACACACACACAATAAATAAATGTAATAAATAAAAATAAATAAATATTAAAAAAAAGTATTCACTGGCAAACTCTAGAACACAGGTTTTTATCAGAAATAATATAAAAGCAGAAAAAAGAAAGAAGGAGAGGAGAGGGGAGAAAAGGGGAGGGGAGGGGAGAGGAGAAGGGGAGGGAAGGAAAGAAGGAAGATTGTTTGAAGGCAGGGGTTGGGGTTGGGGTTCAGTAGACAAGTGGGTTGCCAGGTACCCAACCCACTCCAATCCTGGGGAGGAAAATGTAAACCCTCTTTTGATCAATTCTGAATCTAAGTGTTTTTTTCAGCCAACAAATCATTCTCCAAGAAAGTATAAAAATATACCACCTAGTGCTATATGTGAAAACATTACAAATCAAAAGGATAGCATTGATACTTCCTCTTTGTTAAGATGCTAATATCCTTCTACAGTACAGTGCATCTCAGAATACGTTCATGAAGCTTCAGGGGCACAATCGGTTAGTGTGCAGTACTATAACAGAATACCATTCAATCCTGCACAAGCTTTTACCTGGGATTATACCGAAATGGTTTCCATTACCAAATAACAATTATCTCCAAAATGTTCCTGGAGCATGGTCACAAAGAACAGAATTATAGTTGGCCCTGCACATATGAAGGGATATGGCAAAAGAAACAATGTTATAAGGATTCCTTGAGAGTAAGGATAAAGGCAGTGGCTGCTGTTTGTACACTACCATTAGCAAAAAACTGTCCTGCCGGAGGCAAAAAAGTTGTTAAGTAAATTCATCAATACTGAATTCAGTCAGAGTTGCTTTTAAAACGCAATAGTTCATCCAGAGTAAACATTAGAGGCCAAGGGAAGGGTCTCCCAGCACACCAAATTAAACACAACATGAGGTCCTCCCTTGGTATCATACTGAACAGTGTTTAATTCGGTCCAGGGTTACCCAGCCTAGTTGTCTTTGGAATGGGGGTGGCCACTGGAAGATAAGAAAAGAAACTAAGTTTTGTTTTTAAGGCTAGTGAATTAAAAAAAGGGGGGGGCAGGGAGATAGCTCAGTAGAATAAGCATTTGCCTGGTAAGTTTAGAGTCCTGAGTTCAATCCCCAGTACTGCAAAATAATAAATAAATAAATAAATATAAATAAATAAATAAAATAGCCACAATATCTTTGGTCTCTTCTTCAGAGAGCAAAGATATCTCCACAAAAGTCATAAATAGACAACTACAATAGTTTAAAGTACCTATTCATTATTTTATCCTCAGAAATCTTTTTTTTTAATGATTTAAAAATGGTGACACAGGGAAAGATAAAAGATTAACTTATCATAGCACTGTACCTGGCATTATTCAACAGCAAAAACTAAGTAGTAACTAAAGTCAAATTTCCAGTGTTTTCTCATTCACCAACATCACTTTAAGAAAGATACTTAATGCTAAAATTTCATTGTTGCCCAAAGAGCCAGTTTATCTAAGCACTATGCTTCTCCGACTTTAATATGATTGTCTGCAAATGTTAAAATACAATTTCTGATTCTGAAGGTCTGGGTCAGACATGAGAATCTACAGTTCTAATCATCTCCCTGGTGAAAATGGAGCTGCCAGGTGACAGAGTACAGTTTTAAGCAGGAATGGTCTAGAAAACACAGGAATAAAACATTAGTTTTTCCTCCCATCAGCTTCCACATTTCCATAAATTAAACACTTGATTTCTCCAGTTTCCTTATCTGTAAAATGACAAATTCACAGACTCTCACAAAAAAGAAAAAAATACTGTATGTATAAGAAAACAATAATTATAAACAATAACTTTATGTAATGCTTTTTAAATCCTCATAATAGTCTTCATAATAAAAAAACTTTTTAATAGGCTGGCCAGATAGCTCAGCAGACTAACACTCCTGTTTAGGCAGATGCAGGGACAGAGTTCAATCCCCTGCTGTGCTGGCCCCGCCCCCGGAGAGCAATGAGACAGAAATTAAGACTGGGCGTGGTGGCGCACACCAGTAATTCCAGCACTTGGGAAGCTAAAAACAGGAAAATCACTACAAGTCTGATCTATGTAGTGAGACTCCGTAGACTCTATACTAAATTATATATATATATATATATATATATATATATAATATTACATAAAAAACTTTTTAATGTGATCACTCACTAAACTCCCTATAAGAATAGTTTTATTATACATGCTTATTTTAATATACTATATATTTTTTAAAATTCATGCAAAGGACACAAAGAAACTTTAGCGTTGATAGATGTGTTCATTACCCTGACTGTAGTAATGGTATAATAGGTATATACAGACATCAAAACTTACCTAATTGTAAATTTTAAATATGTGCAGTTTATTGCAAGGGAAGTATACCATAATAAAGCTGTTTCAATAATAACAAAAGTAACATTTACACACACTCAACTTTTTATTAAAAACAAAAACAAAAACAAAAAAAAAAAAACAGTAGTCTGAAATTTTCATTAGGAAACCTTTGCTCCCCACTGCTACTAAGTTAGAACTGGCTTTAGAATCCTTGTATAAAGAATGGTGCCACACTAGCCAGGTGGCAACTAGCAAGCTAAGGAATTCAGCTCTCAGAGATCATGCCAGTTTCACAGCTAACTGAGCTCCACCATACTCATATACGGCCCACGTTCTGGCCACTACCTTCACCTCTATCACATCTTCACTTCCTGCACACTTCTCACTCTAACACAGCTGTTGCCCAACCAAAAATGCCCTCTTGTCATTGAGATTCCAACCTGTGCTTTGTGACCCAGCTCAAAATTGCCATTCTCGGGCAAGCCTTTCTTACTTCTTGAAGCTATCAATTGCTCCCTCACTATATTCCCACAGTATTTCTTTTTTTTTTTTTTAATTTATTTTTATTTATTACATTTATTTATTGTGTGTGTGGCCAGCTCAGCCCACCAGGGGGCGGGGCTGGCTGGCATGTGGTGCTGGGGATCGAACCGCGGTCCCTGTGCTTTGCCAAGCTTGTTTCAAGTAGGTGCTTTAGACCACTGAGCCATCTCTCCAGCCCAGTATTTCTTTTATACCTCTACTATTCTGGTAAAATAATCTACAAATTTAAACATGTACTTTTTTAACTTTTGTGTGTACACACAAAATACATGTGCTACCATTATTAACTAGTATCTTAAAAGAATACACAATTATAAAGTATACTAATAACAATGGTAGTAAATCATAAAGTACCAATATTTACAAATACAAAATTATTAAAAATAGTTTCTGTGATTTTAATGTTGCCTGACTTTCTGATAGGCATAATAGATCATAATTAGTTTTCCACCTTACACAGCTAAGAGCTTGTACCAAAAGTAATCAGTTCTCCTATTGCCTCATCATATACTTGCATTATTTCTCTATTTTCCTGTATAGGTATCTTAAAATAACTTGTCAATTTCAGAAGCCATGAGTTTAAATTAAGATAAAATAATACACAAATATCTCCAACCACACACAACTGGGAATATATGGGAAACCAACCTAGATCTCCTACTATTTCCTCTCAATGTTTCCCACAGTATATCCAGGGCCTTTGCGCTGAACTACATCCCTAGCCTTATTTATTTTAAGAAACAGTCTCAACAAGTTGCCCTAGCTAGCCTTGAATTTATAATCCTTCTGCTACATTCAGCCTCCCTATATGTTGCCATTACAGAAGTTGACCACCAAGTCCAGGTCTTACTATTCCTCCATAATAAATAAGCCTAAAATGTGGACCACCCAGGCTGATTCCCATTTTAAGCATTAGTGAAGCTTAATTCTTACTTTTTAGCAAAGCGTATATTAGAATAACCACCACAGGAAAAGATTTCATAACTTTTAGTAAGTAGATGATGGGTACACTACCACCAAGGGTGGCCGACAGCCTCTAAGAAGGCCTGCAAGGATTCCCACCTCCTGCTACTCACACCTTCATGCAATCCCTTCTTCCTGAGCATGGACTGGACTTAATGACTCAATTCTACCAAACAGAACATGGAGTAAAAGAATTCCAAGATTAGGCTACAAAACATCGTGGCTTCCACTTTGGTCCCCCTCAGTTACTTGCTTTCTCACTTTCAAGGAAGCCAGATGTCATGCTGTGAGCTGCCCCATCCAAAGACCTATGGAGGAAAAATAGCCCCAGCCATCAGCCAGCAAAGGCCTAAGGCCTAACAACAGCCAGGTGAATGAGTAAGGAGGCCAATCCGCCCCACATGAGCCTTATGAGAGATAACTGGAGCCTGCTGGCACTACCTGACTGTACTCTTGTGGGAGACTCTCAACACAGAAGCACCTACTTAAACTGTGCCTAGATACTTAGTCAACAGTATCCATGCTAAATATTGGCAGTTTGAAACTGCTAGGTTATATGGCAAAGGATAACTGAGTTCAAAACACATTGGAAGCCAGGAAGCTCAGAGGTAGCGTGCTCACCTAGCATGCATGAGGCCCTGAGTTTGACAACAGCACAAAAAACAAGTATACACACACATGCCTTACAACAGTAGGAAAAATCAGAGCAATTGGTCTATCATAAGAATTAAGAAATTATAAAATAGCAATTACTAGACAGACTACTGTGTACAGATGGGAAAATCAGTGAACTTGTGCCTAAAATATCAATGTTGAAAATGTTAAAATCAATGTTAAGCGGAAAAAAGAAAGCCAAAGATTAAAAACAATATAAAACAATTATGTGAGATTCAAGAAGCACCCAATATTAAAAACATTTATGGGAATTATGAACAATAAATTTAGTGTGTAAAAGAAAGGGCAAAAAGGAAAGGGAATAGGATTAGGAAAGGACACATAAGGTTTCAATTAAATCTATAACATTTCATCTCTTAAACTATATGCTATGGGGCTGGCCAAAGAGCTCAGTGGATTAAAGAGCATATAAGCAGGCACAGGGGATGGGTTTGATCCCCAGGTCTACCGTGCCGGCCCAACCCCTGGGGCCCGCTGAGACAGCAATTGAGACTGGGCGTGGTGGCACACACCTGTAATCCCAGCTCTTGGGAGGCTGTAAACAGGTGGATCTTTACGAGTCCGATCTAGTAGTGAGACCCTGAACACCCTGTAGACCCTTGCCTAAAATACAAAACTAAACAAATAAAACTAGATGCTATGTATGAGTTTTTCTATATTATTTATATTTTCATATGCTCTGAACTCTTGTATCAAAAAAAAAATACACACAATGAAATAGACAAATATAAAAAGAAGTTCTGATTATTCCATGACTATCCCAATGGACTGGAGGATACATCCTGCCTGAGACTATGCTGTATCATTTATCTATTGAGAAGTTTATTTCCTCTTCTATGCTGTGAGCAATTTTGAGGCCCAGAAAAAGCATTCAATAAATGCCAAATAAATTTATGATATAAGCAGTGTTTACTCATATAGATTTCATTTTCCTACCATAATATCTGCTTATTTCCAAATAAACTGACCATAGCTTGATCTCTAATGGAAACAACTAATTATCCAAGAAAAATTACCTTGGCAAGACAGCATCCACTGTCGATCATTAACTAATACTAATAATCATCACATTCATTAAAAATCTTGGCACAAGTCTGTTTCCTCTACCCCAATTCTATCAGTCTTCAAGTAGCACATAAAAATTCAAACAACATCCTAGCCCTCTAGTTCTCTGACCTCCTTAATAACCAATGACAAGGGCTGGCCTGATAACTCAGCAGACTAAAGCCCCTGCTTAGGCAGAACACAGTGGCTGGGGTTCGATCCCCAGACATGCCATGCCAGCCTCACCCTGAGTGCGCACTGAGACAGACTGAGACTGGGCATGGTGGCACACACTTGTAATCTCAGCACTTGAGAGGCTGAAAACAGGAGAATCACTATGAGTCCAATCTATGCAGTGAGACCCTATAGACCCTGTAGACCTTGTCCTAAATACAAAAAAAAAAAAAAAATCCTTCTCAATTTGATACACCAGCTCCACATGTCACATCCTAAACTTTATTATCCATCACCTGCAACTGCTTCACCTCTTAAATAAAATTTAAATGCCTCATTCTATGATCACAGTGTTTCATACTGCTGATCCTCTTTCCTTTTCACCCATTCCTCTCATCCTTCAGTCTAACTGTGTCAGCCAATCCTCAAATTCCTCTATTTCTTCTTGGTCTATTCGTGACTCCCTTACCTTTCATACCTGTGCCCTGTGTATTATAGGATGGGACATCTTAACTATTGCAACAAAGCTCTATGACCCATTATATTCTTGCCATTTTCTCTGATTACAAGCAAACTCCAAGCACAGAGGACAGGTACAATCTATGTTAACTTCTTGGAGAAATCACAAATGGTCATGCTAGTGCCATTTCAACTGCAGCCTCCAACTCTGACTGAGTCTGTAATCTAACAATTATTTTCCAATGCTTGCTCAGTAACACTTCGAGAACTTTACCAAACTCTACTTCACAACAATACATGCTGAACTCAACAGACAATCTTTCCTACTCATCAAAAGAGTTCATATATGCAATACATTTTCCTTATTTTCCAATTCCCACTTATACATCCCATATCAACAACAAAGAAAATTTCAGAATTCTAGGAAACAGCCAAAGATTTTCAGCAACCAAGTAAACACTGAACTTGAAAAAAGGCAATTTTAAAACAGTAGGATAGCTTCATAACATTTTTATTTTCCCTTCCCTATCTTCCAACATAGCTCAAAGATATCTCAAAAATGGAACCCTCCAGTGGGAGATTCTGGTTCCTGGTTCCTGGTTCTAGAGGGAGCAGAGCATATCTTATATCTTATGTCCTAGCCCTCTAGAGGTCTCTAAAGAACTAATATAAGACTCTAGTCTATTTTATATGAGAATTCCTGCTGGAGAGAAAAACAAAACATTCTTCTCAAACACTATAAAGCAAAGGGAGAATATGCAGTCACCTGGGACAAAAGATAACAAAACAAAGAAACAAAAAGCCAGAAGGAAAGTTTCTTACAGGAATGAAAGCATTTTTTCCTGCTTTGGCAAGCGCAGGGACCAAGATTCAATTCCCACTCCCGCATGCAGCCCCATCCGTCCCCAGGGCACACTGAGCAAGCAATTGAGTCCTGGTGTGGTGGTGCATGCCTGTGATCCTAGCACTTGGGAGGCTGAAAACAGGAGGATCACTACAAGTCCAGGCTGGCTGGTGAGACCCTGTACCAAATACATAAATGAAAAGGGGGGGAGGGGCAGCCAGATAACTCAACAGATTAAAGTGCCTATTTAGGCAGAGGCAGGGATGGGGTTCAATCCCTGGCCTGCTGTGCTGGCCCCACCCCTGGAGCGCACTGAGACAGTGACTGAGACTGGGCATGGTGGCATATGCCTATAATTCCAGCACTTAGGAGGCTAAAAACAGAAGGATCACTATGAGTCCAATCTGTGTAGTGAAACCCTGTGGACCAGGTATGAAAGAAAGATAGAAAGAAAGAGAATTGAAAGCATTCTAAAGTACCTCGGATATTATGGAAATCATAAAGTCTCACACATGTTAAAGAAGTACCAGTGCTCAAGAAACATCCAAGAATGCTCTGAGTTTCACCTCTGGCTGATCTGCAAAGGTTACACAGAAGCAGAAAATAAAGATGAGGGCATAGCTGTGAATGGGCTCACTAAATAATACAAGGATATCCCAAGACAAAAACAATCAGCAAGGACAGAGATGTATTTTTATTCTTCACTTTTTAAAAAAATGTCATTGAGGGGCTGGTGAGATGCCTCAGTGGTCTAAAGCACCTACTTAGAACAAGCTTAGCAAAGCACAGGGACCGCAGTTCAATCCCCCAGCACCACATGCCAGCCAGCCCCGCCCCCTGGTGGGCTGAGCTGGCCACACACACACACACACACACACACACACACACACAAATAAATAAATAAAATTTAAAAATAAAAAATAAAAAAGTCATTGACTTAAGTCACCTACTATTCAAGGAAATCTGTATTAAAACACTGTATGAGGGTTTGATGTGTCATTCAGTAGCATAAGACCCTGGGTTCCAAACTAGCACCAGTGGGGGTAAAAATTAGCTGAACACAAACAAAAGAAACACAGACTTCAAAGACCATACAAGACAAATACAGACATTACAAAATCAGAAATCAAAAAGGATAGAAGAGAAAGATCTTAAAAGCTTTATGGGCCCAAGCATACCAACATGCACATAATGCAAGTACCAAAAAGAAAGAAGCAGCTGACAAGGACAGAAAAAATATCTGAAGAAATAATGGTTGAAAGCACCCAAAATTTAATAAAAGACATCAACCTAAACCTAAAGAAATTTATACAGAGACACAATATACAAACTACAAAATGACAGAATTTTGAAAGCAACAAAAGAGAAGCAACTATCACATATAATGGATTCTCCAAAAGTTTAACAGCCAAATTCTGGACAGAAAAAATGAAGGTAAAAAGGCAATGGGACGATATATTTAAAGTGCTGAAAGGGGAAAAGAGTGCCTTATAAGAATGTTATATCTGGTAAAATTATCCTTCAAAAATGACAAAAGAAGCTAGGTGTGGTAGTACATGCCTACAGTCCCAACTTGGAGGCTGAGGCAGGATGATCGCTTGAACCAGGAGTTTGTGAGCAGCTTGAGTAATATAGCAAGACAAAAAAGAAAGGAAAACAAAAAGAAAAAACTAAGACAACATTCCAACTCAAAAATAGAGGGATGTCGCAGTAGACCTACCCTACAGGAAATGTTAAAGGGAATCCTTCTAGCCAAAATTAAGATATAACACAGTAACTGAAAGCCATACAAGGGCCAGGGAGATGGCTCAGTAGAATAAGTGCTTCCATGGCAAGCGCAAGGGCC